GATGATCATCATAATAATTTTTTTATTTATAGCAACAACAATACTTTTTCCCATTTATCACGATCGCCATAATTTTCGTCTGTTTTAAGCTCTGAAATGTCTACTCGTTAATAAAAACGATTTATTTCCTTGAATACAGATGGGACTTATTGCCTAACAATTATTCAACAATTGGTTTTTGAATTCGCGTGTTTTCTTTTTTTGGGAACTAATGCTCGAACACGTTTTCAGTAAGATGATTTCATGCTCGTTCTAACCCAGTCCACTTCGTCGACATTTGATTGCTGGGATGTTTTTTTTAGAAAAACCTTTAATTGTCTCTTTTTATTGTGCATCAGTTATTTCAGTTAATCATACCTAACCCAGAGTGTTTCTCACTTTAGGTTTGCCCGTATTGTAAATCTTTCGAATGATCCAAGTCCTGGCTATAACATTGAGAAGCTAGCCAAACAGGGATCCAAATTTTTCGAGTTACCATATGCAGTAAAGGGTATGGATGTTTCTTTTGCAGGATTATTATCATTTTTGGAAGAGCGTGCACCAAAACTTTTAGAAACTGGTGAATACACTGTGGCTGATTTATGCTTTAGTCTCCAAGAAACAGCTTTTGCTATGGTTGTAGAAATTACTGAACGGGCTATGGCACATTGTGATGCAAACGTAAGTTTATTTGATTTTAATTGTTACTAACTAATTTATGTATATGATTAGTTTTAAACTGTAATAACAATAAACCATCAGAAAAAAAATGAACTGATTTTTCGTTGTTTCACAAGTTATCCCATAGTTAGTCGCTCAGTTACTATCTTTGTCAAATGTCTATATTAGTAGTTTGGATTTTATTTATTTATTTTGTCGGAAAAGGTATATGTGATTCTGATTTATTTTTGTAAGTTGTACAGTATATTTAATTAGCTTTGAAATTTCTTTAGTTATACATGTGATCTCACTTTACCTTGTGAATTTATATGAGCTTTTTTTAAATAGAAAAGTATGTTTCATAATGATTTTGTCAGTACTTGTCACATTGCACAGTTCCTCGTTGTTTCAAAATTCTTCATAAAAATTCTGTAAGATTAGATTTTGCATATACTTAACAATACAAATGGATCATATCTGAAACCAGTAAAATTTTTATGAAAATTCTGTACTTTTATCAAAGTGTATAAACACTGAAGTTTCCCAGCCCTTAATTGTGTGACGTCCTTAAATCAATTTGATCACGAAACCTGTAGTTTGGTGAAAATTTGTTCCTTCAAGCAAGTGAACATACATCGTGCTTCAGCACTTGTGTCAAATGGGATTATCAGGAATCAGCATGGGTAAATTAAACAATCTTTCCAGACTAATCCAATAGCTCAAAATAGCTGGAATTCCTGCGAATGCATCATAAAAGGTAGACTAGGCGATGAAAAAGCATTAAGTGCTGTTTAGAATAAACAATGAAATATTGAAAGAGGAGTATCGTTGAATGGTTAGTTACGACAAATTAACTCAACCCTATAAAACAATAGGTCACCAATTATGTTTGTAGATAACACAAACTACTGAATATTAAAAAGTAGCATAGCGTAGCGTACCATAAACGTGGTCACAGAAGTCATGTAATTGATATAGTAAATATATTTAGCAATTTCAAATGGAATTGTTTTGTTGCCTCTTAACTTCAGGTTGGAAAATCTAAAAATAACGAATCAGTTTCCAAGTCATCTCCCTTTTAGGGATCTCCTGCTTCGGTTTGGACACCCGGGCAGTATCACAGCCCTCACACATATCGAATGAGATTTGTGTGGCGCATATGTATTTGGTGCCTCATTGTACCAATATCTATGTGTTAAAATAAATAAGTAAATCTTAGGGATCTTTAACATCTATAGCATGTCGTTTTCCAAATCTCCTCGTTGAAATTCTCCTGAAACACTATATAGTTAAATAAATTATTTGCAATTTCTTGTTAATTTCCAGAATCTGCTCTTTCGACTGTTATGTATCGTTTTCTATTAAGATTTCACAGAGTTATTTAAACTAATTCTGTTTGCTAGAAGGTTTGATTTATTGATTTTTTTCTGATTCCATGTAATGGACCCAATACTACCTTATGTTAGTTTCTTAGTTATTCTCACAAATACCTATATCAAGTTCGACATTAAAAAGCAGGTATACTAAATTTATAAACATGATCTTATAAATAAACTTAGTTTACATATGGTTACTTAAAACGTATCTTACATTCTCCTAGTCACTATGATTGTAGATCTCAAATATATTGTGTTTTACAATGTTTACTACCGTTGAATTTAAACTGTACATAGCAACAAAATGATTATAGCATCGAACGAAGTAGAATTATTCAATGTGTTTTAGCTCTTTTTTATTCGCTGTGTTGCATAAAGAAAGAAAATGGATGAAGTGTATGTTTGTTGGATTGTATATTATTTTAATGCATATTTTTGAATTTTGGTCATGATTTACTGTTCTGTAAACTCATTTAGATTTCTGGTCAGTAAATTAGCTACATTCAACATCCCAACGAATTATGCAAGATCGAGTTGAATTCCATGTTAGTTAACTGCAATAGCAAGACCAAAAAAATTCTGCAAATATTCAGCTAACTCTGTAATCGTAAACACTAGGTTTCTTGTGATATTTAGACAAATGATAGTTAATCCCAGCTCATTTAATCCAACATATTGTAGTAATCTTCATCCCTGAATTATCGAAAATTTTGCAAGGAATACTTGATCTGATAGTCAAGACTCATAGTGGCAGTCGATGAAGCTTATCACCTGTTCGTCTAAGTCACTTGAACAAAATTCTTAGTGCCAATGAAAAAATATCGAAATGATAGCGCACTCAATGCATATTTTTAAAGATCCTTAGAGCACTACATGAAGCCATCTGAACGATGGTTTAACTGACCCCCTGTCCTAGGAAATTCTGTAAATCGTACCCCAATCGACGTAATGATATCTTAGGAAAGAACTCCAACTAGTAGGATGTCATAAGATACTCGGCTCAGAAGATTTATTTCTAGGTCTTTTTAGTTGGACAGTTGACATTCTCAATCTGAAACTAACTAGATTGCCAGTGGAAAAGCTTATGGTAATTTAGCTTATGTATGTCAAAGTTTCGCTGTATCTATAAAAGGTACTGTAGTGAAATCATCTCTGCTCTTTACTTGTGAATCTTGCCGTCTATAAGATATTTGTCGGTCTCTGTCTTTAAATAAACATGATAAGCTAAGTAATATTATTAGTCATTAACTAAAACGTAACTATGATGTAAAATGAAGTCACTAATCTTTATTCATAGAAAATAAAATTTCAACATCGTGGTACAGATACGTCATGGCTATTTAATGTTGGTTGTGCCGTGAAATTTTTCAAAACAATCTAACATCTGATCCTGTTTATGTTAGACCGGGCAAATATACACGGTATCGTGTTTACGTTTTAGTGGCCTCGTATATATTTATCGACTTGATCCGCGTTAGTGAATAACAGAATTAAATAAACCAAATACCAGAATGAATTTTTGAATGCGTATATTTTGTGCAATCATTGATCTGGACAGACAATCAGAGGGACGAAGCGAAGCGGAATGATGCGCGATAAAGCCCTGTGGACCAACTCGATTCAACCAAGCGTTAATCAATATTTATAGTCGCACAAATATAAGCTACAGACATGTGATGATTAGGATAAGATGTACACATATAAAAACAGGGTTGATAAGTGGATAATTAACAAGGTCAAAACGTGACTCGAGAGAATGAATAAGTTGGCCTGTTCAGAAGCTAGAATAACTTATATGGGCTTAACATAGTAACTGACACTACAACGTATTCGGTTTTCTATTTGTAGTTATTTTTAAGGGTATGACATTGATTTATTGTTCTTAAGTAATACCCAGTCAAACTATTCAAGTCTGACTGTTAGTATGACTGTATGTAAATCATATAAAGAATTGTGTATGCATATAACATTTTGATTTATTTTGGGAGTCAAATAAATCATTATCAAGCACTACACGTCGTCGTATTTGCGATTTTCAGTACCACGTGCAAGGCAGCTAAGACATAATAGTGACAAGCATGACAATTTTCATCTTAAATTCTTTTAATTACTAACTAATTAGTCTTATTATATTGGGATGAGTATTTTACATTTTGTAATTTTTCAGGAGGTTCTCATTGTCGGTGGTGTTGGTTGCAATGTGCGTCTACAGGAAATGATGAACTGCATGGCTGAAGAGCGCGGTGCTAAATTATTTGCAACTGATGAGCGATTTTGTATTGATAATGGTGCTATGATAGCACATACTGGATGTCTAATGTTTGATGCCGGTTTGAATTTTCCGCTGAAAGACTCTGTTGTCTCTCAACGCTATCGTACAGATGCTGTTGATGCAGTTTGGCGTGATGAATAAAATCTCCATATGTATATATTTTTAAATATATTGCTATTCTGACGATTCAATATTTTTCTATGTGAACTCCACTTAGTTGCATATGCTATTGCTAAATGGTTAGGTAGGCAGACATAGAGATAAATCATTAATTGTCTCTAGATACAAGCTCATCCTTTTATTCATAAATCTCTATAAGTTGCTTCTGGAATATCGATTGTATTTCGTATTTTTTGTAAGCAAGCTGCAGGTCATTTTAGTACCAAGTTGTTCTAAATCTGTTCTAGTAAAAGTAACCAAGCATATAGTAAAATAGCGACCGAAGTTATTGAAGAAATAAACTGGTCTAGGAGAAATAGAATGTTATTATTTGATTGTCAAATAAATGGGTTTATTGTATCCCTTACCTAGTAATGAATATTCATTATTACACCTTATAAAATTTCTATCCACCCAGTTATTTACTATTATGTTTTATAGGTGTCAGGTTTTCTACATATCTAGATGCGAACGTTTTCTTCTTTCCTTACCTATCTATTATTCTTGTTAAAGATTCTGATACTCGTAGCACCTCGTTTCATCTTTTAGGACAGATGGGTATCCGAGGCTTGTGGACGTATATTCAAAGTAACAGTGAAAACTTCTCCTCGTATGAATTGCATAACCAACCTTTAGTTATTGATGCTGAAAACTTCGCTTCTCTCTGTTATCGTCAAGCTGCTTTGCGATGTGAATATGGTGGAGAGTATTTGGCATTTAAATGTTATGTCCAGTTATTCCTAAAACAGTTTCGTATCTGTCGTGTGAACCCAATCTTCGTTTTTGATGGATGTCATTCTAAAGAGGTATGCTTTCAATATCATAGTACTTTTTTTCCCTTACTGCCTACATTTTTTCCAGTCTACTTAAATCTTAGGGCATTTATTTAAAATAGAAAGTTTTTGTGTAGTATACATCTCATCACTATTGTATATAGTATCATAATTGATCTAAGCAATCACTGCATTATAGGAATTATAATTGTTTACCTTAACTGCCTAATTAATTAAATCATCAGAAAGTGATGTACATGTCAGAAAATATGCGTGTCAAGCGCTTTCGTCTGTTTATAGGCCATCCACTTCGCTAATGCTGCAAAAGATCAATTATTTTGTGTATTTAGGATTTTGCAACAAGACATTATGTTTCACATTGAGACTCGAGTTATGAGCAATGACCTCTACAAATTAACATATTTATACAGTCATGTGTATACCTAGAAGTCTATCTCATACAAGGATAATTTGTTTATTAAGCGTACAATTTAGCAATTATTTAGTGTTATTCGAGCTTTTATACGTACTAATAAGTTTTTTACTACCTCTCGAGGTGTAATTTCATCACTACCCTTTCGTTTATTGGTGTATTTCTCAGAGATAATAAAACATTTACAACCAAATGTGATAAATGTAAAGAAAATGAACACAACATTTCGAGCAATATATTTTTCGAGTTTGTTACATACAGTGATTCATTTTATAAGTTAACTAATGAATTTTTTCCGCTTTCTTAAGGGATCAAAATTGGATACTTTGTTGAAGCGAAACATTGACCAATTTAATAAACTCTCATCAGCTCTTCGTAATATTAAATCAATTTCTAATCTAGATAGCCTAGACTTGAAAATCGATATAACTCCACGACTTTGTAGACATGTTCTTGTGGAAATTCTACGGGAATCTTCAGTTCGATACATAGCATGTGAACGTGAAGCTGATATCAGTATAGCAAAACTAGCTATTTATCTTCAATGTCCCATTACTAGTGGAGATTCTGATTTTTTGATTTATCGACCAATTGATGACAATCAAGTCTATAGTTTTATTCCACTTTCATCTATTCTACTCGATTGTAAGCAGAGATCCCTCCCTTGTTCTGTTTGTAAACTTGATGGTGCTCCATGTTTTTTTATATCGTGTAAAGTTCTTAATAATTCAGGACCGTTTTATAACTCAAGTATCCTATGTTACCACTTTTTGCCATTCTCGTTGGTAATGACATAACATCAAATATTCACCTTCCAGCTATCATCGATTCTCTAATCCATACTTCTGATCTACAGAACACGTCCTACTATCAAAGACGTATCCATGCTATATTTAACTGGGTCTTACAATTCTGTGACATGAAACAACCATTGTCATTAATTCTGTCACTTTACAGCCAAAATGAAAGGGATGATATTGAAGAGACAATACGTTCGGGGATTTCGGATTATTTTCTGAATATTTCATGTGAAAACCTGGCTCATGCATTAGGATTTTCAAACAAACATTATGTCTCATTAAGTGTCCCATCATCAAGCAAACTTGAAAAGTCAAACATTCAAAACTCCACAACTTCATGGGGTTCCTGCTTTGAAGATCCTTTCAAATTTTCTAAACCTATTTTTGAGCGGAATAATGATAAAGTTAGTATATTTCACCATTGGCCGAAAGAATTGATTAAACGATTTAAATCTTTGGAATTAATCCCAAGCTTTTTGGACTACATGTATGTGCGAAATGGCGTTGTCCCTCGTCAAGTAGTGGAGGATATAAAGAGTCCTAATTCAATTAACGAATGTATGTCTAAAATGAGAAGTATTTTAAATGGACTTATATATGGCCTTGAAAATCACTTAGGCACCAATGAAAAGTTATGTGGAATGGAGAATGAGTGTGTCACTGAGTACAGAAGAAGTGCGAATGGTCAATTGACGAAGACTTTAATTTCCGTGAAGCCTCTGAAACCCCCTTGTGCTAAAACACCTGAATTTTCGTTCGTATCTTTTTTCTCCCAGTCTTTTAATGTTAATTTAGTAAAAGATTTTAGGCCTCTTGAAATACAAGGTTTAGCTGTTTTATTAGTTCTATGGTTCAGATCTTCATTTCATGCTCAATCTAAAGCTAAAAACATTCAAACATCACCGGTTGGACTTGCCCTATCATGTTGTGCAATCGCTATCAATTCAAATTGTGAATTTCTTGGTAGAAATAATACTTTTGAAGATTTTGTCAACTCTATTTGCACACATTTCAATAAATGTGCTGATTTAGCAAAATCAGTTTATTGCCAAAGAAATTCACCTTTCTTTTGTATCGAAGATGTTCACCAACTTAATGAATTGCAAAGTATGGCCTCTGGATTAAATCATTTAGTTGCACTGATTGAGGTGCTTTGTCCGTTTTATGTCTCAAATATTGATGAATTTGATACTTCACATTTAAAAATTCTTTCATAAGCTTTTATCCACTTTGGATGTTATTTGCCAGTGGACGTCTTATATACTGGATTGGTCGACTTTTACAAAGTCTAGATCCATCTGAGCGTTTACATAAAGTCATAAATGATTGGCTTCCAAAATTGCTCATTAAAACCAATCTTATCAGTCAACAACAGGACTGCGCCCAAAGAGATTTTACCAAACTTTTCAATCTAATTGATAAGTTGAACTGATAAAATTTGTAGTTTCTATTATCAACGGTAGTATTTATTTTTGATAGACTTTCATTTATGATTGTTTTACTTAATTTTATAAACATACATAACACTTCCATGGTTTTTGTTTAAACTTTTAACTCATTCATTTGCACACCTATTTTTCTAACAACTATAATCATCCACATACTTTAATGTATACTTCATACTGTCTTGCTGCACCTTTATTTTAGCAAAAGTAGTAAGGATGTAAAAAAGAAGTATTTATCCGAAAAACCTACTTCACATTCTGTGAAAACTACTTCCCTAACTACTTGGATTTAATAGTTTGTTGATCGTAGTATAACTAGACATGTTAACGGCGGCTTTTCTGTAAAAGTCAAAATTTTCACCTATTTTGTGTTCATTTAACTAGATGATTATGTCGAAGTATGTGCCGATGTTGTCTAGAAGGAAAATGAAAGTTTCGCGACTAAACCATCCACCTCAGAGAGCACTACACTTCCGAAATCGTCATCCTGAGATAAAAGTACCCCCCCCATTTTATCCGTTTATGTTTGCCTATAGCTTAGTAGAAAAACCAGTGATAACTATTTTTTTGCTTAAGCAATTGACCTTGCTTCGTATTTTGTTCAAGTTATGATTGATACGATTATAGGTTGCGAGTTATCTCTTGATGAAATATTGCTCCAATTACTTGATACCACGAATACTCGTTTGGTTTCATATGAAGTATTTCATCACAGTTGTTTGTCCCATATCCATAAGTATTCAGACGCTAGTTTATAAGAAACCCCAGTAGCAAATAAAAAAGAGGATGGGACTTCTCAACGACTTATGGATTATACCAAGGGGGTTAGAAGTACGTAATGTCGTATGCAACTCCAAACTTGTACACTCCGTTGTTTCATGGTCTTTCTAATTGTTAAAAGTGGAGGTTCGTAGTATGAGGAGTTTAAAAATGGAAAAGTTACTTAGTGTGCATTCACAAATTAAAATCATTAATTGATACCTGCCACATAAGATTGGGCATATCTATGTCCAAATGAGAAACTTAGTTCCTTTCAGCGAGTGTAGTCCACCTAACCATTCACAACATTACGAAACGACCTAGTTACTTGTATATATTGTATCCCGACCGTTGTTGCTACCTTGACGTGGTGGTCGGGCTTGCCTATCGTGATGAAGCAACCGAGCTATACTGGCTGGAACAACCGTTCCTCAAGGTCCTACCATGTCAGACAGGTCGGTTGAAGAGCGGTAAGGCTAAAAGAAACAAACCCAAGGTCCGAAGGCGAAGTCGTACTGCTAACTGTACAGAGGTGTGACAGCAGTAAGGTGTTTCCTTCAGACAACCAGCATGACAGCGATGCTGCCTTCCCACAAGGAGGGTTGGGGTTAGAAAAGGTCGACCCTAAAAATGCACACTTCACCTTACCTCACGGATTTCCGTCTCCGGTGGTAAGGTCTCAACAAGTACGGAGCTAACACGTCAAAAACCTCCCACGAAAAGGCCGTGTGAGACCGGCTTCAAGCAGTTGTTCCTTGGGCACTGTGATCACGCTCTCAGGTCACTGAGACCGCCTCTAATCCAATTTCCTTTTCAGGTACCTCCAGAAAAACCCTTCCACGGTGTGGGCAACCGGGAAGTGATAACCGCCCTCATACCTCTAACAGCACTCGAGACCACTGTATTCATAATCAACCTTCCTCTTCAATTCCTATTATTCCTCCTACATCGACTTTCAACCTAAACTTCCTCTTCGGCTTCCTCCTCAAGTGTCACCATAGCCAACGATTCTAGTGCTCAAAACCCTGTCCCAGGTCTACTGAAACCTCGCTCCAAACTACACATTGGAGCCTTCAACGTACGCATCCTATGTCAAATCGGTCAGCAGGCTTCCTTGGTTAAAACCCTAGAGTCTCTTTCCATTGATGTATGCTGTGTCTCTGAAACACGCATACAGGATTCCAGTGTGGTCATTCACTTGACCTCACCTCGGCAAAACGGAGAGCCAACGAGATACACCCTACGTGTATCTGGTGACCCGATGGCCAGTTCTCGTGGACTGGCAGGTGTAGGCATAGCACTAAGCATGAGGGCGGAACAAGCACTGGTAGAGTGGATCCCCGTCAACAGTCGTCTATGTGCTGTTCGGCTAAACGGCTCCGTAAGAACTCGGAAGGATAGGGACACACGTCGTTGCCTTTTCGTCGTTTCTGCCTACGCTCCCACTGACTGCAGCTCAGATGATGTGAAAGATGAATTTTACAGAAAGCTGTCCGAACTTCTTCAGAAAGCTAAACGCTCAGACATAGTACTCGTAGGGGGTGACTTTAATGCTCAGATAGGTAGTTTAAACCAAACAGAAAGGCATTTAGGTGGATATTTTAGCATTCCGGCACAGCGAACAGATAATGGTGATCGTCTGCTGCAGCTATGCTCAGACAATCGTTTATTTTTAGCAAACACAAATTTTAAGCATAAGGAGAGACATCGTCTAACATGGCGACCCCGTACACCAAACCAACAATGGACTCAAATAGACCATATTGCCATCAGTCATCGTTGGAGAGGGTCGGTAGAAGATTCTCGTCCCATCAGGTTCCGAACATCACGAAGAGCGACAACAAATCAGATCTAGGTTAAGAAAAAGTCTAAGAAACGACCGTGAGCAGTGGTGGGCAACGAAAGCAAAAGAGATGGAAAAGGCGGCGACTATAGGGAACACAAGACAGCTTTACAGACTAATAAAAGAAACTGGAATTAATAAGTCAAGTGTAAGTGAGATTATTTCGGAAAAAGACGATACCCTCATCTGCTCCCAGTCCAGACGTTTAGAACGATGGGCGGAACATTTCAGAGAACAGTTCAGCTGGCCTTCAGCTACTCTACAACTACCCTCCATTCCCAGACAGTGTGAATGGAACATTGAAGTAGGTCCCCCAACTCTTGCTGAAGTTCAAAAGGCTATAGTTAATCTGAAACGAGGAAGGGCAGATGGACTGGCTCCAGAAGTCTTTAAGGATGGTGGTCCAATTTTAGCGATTAGGTTGACTAATATTTTAGCTAAATCTGGGAGTTAGACGTTATCCCATCTGACTGGTCACAATCACTTATCGTCCCAATATATAAGAAAGGGTCAAAATCATCCTGTGACAACCACAGAGGGATTAGTTTAACTAATATAGTATCTAAAATACTAGCCTCGATAATTATCAGACGCCTAACTAAGACTCGTGAACTGCAAACACGAGAGAACCAAGCTGGCTTTAGACCTGGTCGTGGCTGCATCGACCACATATTCACCATTCGTCAGGTTCTAGAACACAGGCATACTTATCGGCGTCCGACAATGGTGGTCTTTCTTGACTTAAAAGCAGCATTTGACTCTGTAGACCGCGAGATTCTGTGGCAGTGTCTGTCATTGAAAGGCGTACCCAGAAGTACATAAACCTTGTGAAGGCTCTTTACTCGAACACTACTAGTCGAGTCAGGGCTTATGGCGAACTGTCATCTACTTTTGCAACCTCAAGTGGTGTCCGTCAAGGCTGTCCACTTTCCCATTTTTGTTTAACTTCATCATAGATCTACTGATGGAAATAACTTTCTCGTCGACTGAATTCTCGGGTATTGATCTCCATCCAGGAGGTCCACTTATCGACTTAGAATACGCAGATGACATAGTCCTGTTTGGTGAAGACGCTGACAAAATGCAGAGTCTTCTGGTAGCACTAAGCAACAATGCCAGAATGTTTGGAATGCGCTTCTCTCCCTCTAAATGCAAGTTGTTGCTTCAGGACTGGTCTGCGTCAACACCTGAACTAAGGATAGGGAGTGAAGTAGTCGAACGCGTTGACAACTTCACTTATCTTGGAAGTCTGATCAGCCCTAATGGGTTGGTGTCTGACGAAATCTCAGCACGGATTCGAAAAGCTCGTTTGGCTTTTGCCAACTTACGTCACCTTGGCGAAGGCGAGATATCCGTCTATCAATAAAAGGACGAGTATACTGCGCGGCAGTCCGTTCTGTTTTAATTTACGGCAGCGAAACATGGCCATTAAGAGTAGAAGACACTCGTAAGCTACTAGTATTTGACCACAGATGCCTTAGAAATATTGCTGGCGTCTGCTGGGATCACCGGGTAAGTAATAGTGAGGTTAGACGCAGGGTATTAGGGAATGATGGTAAATCAGTTGATGAGGTTATGAATCTTCATCGACTGAGATGGTTGGGCCACGTGTTACGTATGCCTGAACACCGATTACCACGACGTGCAATGCTATCCGGTATGGAGATGGTTGGAAGAAAGTTAGGGGCGGCCAAACCAAAACGTGGCATCAGTGCTTGAAGTCACTAACTTCTAGTCTGAGCCATGTTGGTAGATGCAGACTACTTGGTTGGGGTCCGCGTGACTATCGTAACCAATGGTTGGAGACTCTTGGTGACATGGCTCAGAATCGATCACAATGGCGTCGGTGTATACACTCCCTGTCTTCCCTTAAACTAAGAGATTAAAATCGCTTCATATCTTTCTTTCTACGAACTAATTCTTTCTTCTTGTATTATATCCTTATAGCAATCTTTCTCTTATATATTACCACCTTTGACCTAACCACTGCTATGAATCCGGTGTTCATCTTGTTGTGCTGATGCGGTATGGCAACCTGGACCGATGCACATATGTGCCTGGTCCTACGTTGTAGCTGACTGACTGATATATTGTATCAATAAACTGAGTACAATCTTTGTAAGATATTATAGGATTATGTACGAAACCGTAAGGGTTTAGTAGTTCTGAT